CACCTATTTTGGGATACCTACTTTTCCTGAGTTGGCTCTCTTTGCTGATAAGGTCTTTGATTATCCAAACAGATCAAGATGGAACAGAATCATCCAACTCACATTCGACTTATAGTATAAACTCATTGGAAAAACAAAAGTAGGACACTTTAAATGTGATTTCAAATCCAAATTTGTGTTTAAAAAAGTTTTCAGTTTGATTCATATGCAAAAGATTTCCCTAATGATGCGATGGAGAAGAGGAGTTGAAGGGCTGGCTCGCCATCTTGAATACTATGGCAGGCTGTTTTAAAATGTATTACTTTTACTGAATATGTAATCCGAATATCCTAAATGGATTTCTTCCTAGCCGAAATTAGCATTTCACATATTTCCCACTATAATTAGGGGCTCCCCGCTTTCATCTCAGCATCAGTCTGGGGGTCCTTGGCCTGGAAAACGTTGAAGACCCCTGGTCTATGGGCTTCAGCTTCCTGATATCATCTGCTTACAGTTCAATTAATGCAGGTTCCCTTTTGTAAAATGGCCTTATTCTTTGGACATAGAGAAAAAGAGTTGACAAGAGTTTGCCTAAAGAAGTAGTGCAGAGCTAGAGTCCTTGAAATTAGCAAAATTAGCATATTCAAACAAGCTATGACAGTAGTTTGCATGCTTGTAGCGACAGTGGAGAGGAGAAACTCCCTTTTAACAGGTAGAAACCTCCAGCAGAACCAGGCCACCATGTGGGACACACACTGCTGAATGTTGTATAAAATGGGGTTTAAAAAAAGTGCTTAATCTTGAAAACTGTAAATCGTATACAGGTCTTATATTTACATTTTATCATTGCTGTTTACATTTGATCACTGCTGAAAATGTCGGAACGAAATTTCTTTTTGCATACATTCTGTGTGTAAAAAATGACAATAGTCTATCTAAGTCTAAGAAACAGGCTTAGTGCAAGGTTGATTGGGGTTCAAGGAGACAGAGGCAGACATTATCAAAGAAATCCTTTTTTATAGAAAAAGCAGAAAGGTGCTGAGAGGGATGCATTGCAAAGTCTGGCTGACCAACATTGTGGTTGGTCAGTCAGAGGCAATGCAGGTTCACCTGGCTAAGAATTTCTAAAAGTAGAATGGGAGGCAGATCTTTTAGTTATCAGGCTCCTCTCCTGTGGAACCAACTACCAGTTTTAG